AATGCATCATTTATCCCGATTTAAGTGAGAAAACAAAGTGAAATTCAAGACCTTCGAAGGTGGCAGCGGGGGTGGAGATTGCAGAAAAATGAAAAGATTTCAAAAAGCAGTTCCGCTTAGTCTACTTTGCATAAATGAACCACCCGGCTAGTTGCATTCCAATGTTAGCAATATTGTCAATGAAATCCCAAAACAGGTTCCCATTCAAACCCAAGTGTACCTTTTATTACTACCACTCAATTTTGCCTTCTGCTATGTCTACCATTATGAATTTGAGAAATGTTGATGTTGTTTACTTCAAGCAAAATATTCTAAGGTGAGAGAACTTTTGTGAGCCAAAAAAACCTGTCTTTACCTCACTTATCAAGGGTATTGCTACGGAATCATAACATCAACTTCAAGTAAATCGCCACCTTTCAACACATTACTGACCTCCTTCAAACTCATAATGTTTCATTCCCAACAGTAGCAACAGACTTGTTTTAAAGACGCGACACTAGTGAGCGAAAGGCGTAAGAGCTAAACTTATCATAAGTGGAAAAGCTGAGAGACTAGGTATACCAGGAGGTGCTTCACTAAATGTAAAGAACGAACCGCGTAGGCTGAAGAGCATCATGTGGAACATTCATGGGTAAATTTCCTTCTCAAAAAACACATCACTGCATGCCATATGGACGTTAGCACGACACTGGATATGTTTAGCTGTGCGTTAAAATCTGATTGACTGATATGGAGTCCACTTTCTGCTCCGATGTTGACCATCAAAGTTGCAGATGATGGGATAAATCGAATCCATATTCTCCAGCCATCCAAGCCACCAATGCAAATGAATTGAGATTCAATAGCACCCCGTTCAGGTAAAAAGTGAGCGCAACAGTTCGATTGAAAGAAAATCATTATTGAATCATATTTCTTGAGATAGGAACAACAAAATGGTTGTTAATAGGGGGAAAGATAAAGTCAGGAAAGTTGCCTTAATAAAAATATTTGTAACTATAGGGAGGGAAAAGGAGATATGCGGAGACGGCATTGATGGAGGGAAATGAAATGCGCTAAAAATGTGCGAATAAGGGAGGATGTGTACTGCTTACGGGAGTGTGGGTAAATCCCACCTGAAAGGTCGAAG